TCTACAGTTCTCACATGTGTACATGGGCTAATAAGAGATGATATTGAATACAATGTATGGGATATGTATGTTTTGGAATATGAATTATATGACAGGATATCTGTGTGTTAGTGATTATTGTATATGTTATAAGATATATGATATGAACATAATAAATCATAGAAACAAGAGAATAGAAATATGAATGATAATAAAATGATAATGATAGGAATGAAGATAATTATATGCATGTATGGATTTGATGGATGAACATATATATGTTTGGGTATGCTATGATTGCAGTAATTGTTCATGCATTATTACAAGTTATAGTTTACATTATATATTTATTGCCTCACTAAGTCATAGACTTAGCGTGTAAGTGATTTACATGTAGGTTTCAAGAGAAGTGAAGAGCAATGTGGAACAAGACATGTCAATTCTCCTTACCGAATGTCAAATCAGAAAATAGGTGAATAATGTCTTTTTGTATATAAAGTTCTAGTTAGCATGTATTCAAAAGAATATATTGTATAAGCTCTGAATAGTTTTGTAAACGTTTTGAATAAGTTATATGTAGATGAATAAGTGAATTATGCATGCTCTGGTCGGTTTTTACAATAATGTAAATGTATTTGATGTAAGTTAGTCATTTATATGTTATAAAAGTTTTAAATTACTCCTTATTTTATACAAGTAAATGTTTTGAAAAGTCAATGTGACACCTCGGACTCGTATTCGGGTCGGATACGGGTTGGGGGTGTTACAATTTCATTTTTACCAAAGCCGTTAAGATAAATGACATGCCCCCCTTTAAGGTCGAATTGATTGTCTTTGCTAAGTTGGTTGTCATGTGTCCATATTAATATCCACCATCATATGCATTTGTTCACATTTCTTCATTGATGAGGCTGATGTAATCGTATCCTTTCTCGTTCTTCCCCCTTAAATCTTGAAGCATGAACTCAAATGTTTGAGGTAATAGTTCGTAACCTGAGCATCAAATATAGAACTTACTAACTTTGTTTCTATAAAAATTGAAAATGATTGAAAGAAAAAAATAATATCATTTTTACATACCCATACGCACAAGTAATTGGCGCTCATCATTCTTCTTGAACATTCCATGATAGTTCGCAGCAATGTGTCGAATACAGTACCTATGTTGGATATAGGGTGGTTGCCACATTGGACCCAAAGAATTCATTGCTGCTTTGATCCCAGCTCCGCGATCTGAAATGATACAGATTTTTTCCTCGTGATAACATATGAGCGTAAGTTTCGGAAGAAAAAGCCCAAGAATCTGTATATTATCCTTCAACAAAGGAAAAAGCAACTGGAAGAATGTTGCGATTACCATCTTGGACAACTGCCAATAGTAAAACTTGCTTGTATTTTCCATACAAGAATGTCCCGCCGATTTGGACCACAAACTTGCAGTATTTCACAATATTAATGCACTGTGGGTAAGTCCAAAAAAGTCGGTAGAATTAACATCGATTGCGAAGAACTCGATCATTATGGTATAAATGGCAAGTTTTGAAGTCCATAGCTGTCACTGGATTCAACATGCGCACCACCCTAAACCAACTTGATAGTTCATTATAAGATTTATCTCATTCACAGTGAAGTTTTATAATCGCATTTTGTTTTGCCATCCATGCTTTTCTGTATGAGACGGAATACTCATACCGCAATTGTATAGTTGAAATTAACACAACAATAACTATATGAGAGTTTGCTTTTACCATGGGTATAATGGCTTGACATATTATTTCGGAGTCCAAGTTGGGATGATCTTGGTTTATCCCTCCAGCACAACATGTGTGAGGATCGTTGTATATCGTTAGTTCCCATATATTGTTATTCCTCTTCGATACACGAACTATTCAATTGTATCCGTTATCACGTTGGACATAGTGGCAGACATACTTTTTGGTCGTAAAGCGGTCGACTCTGGATTGAACAGAATTACACATATTGTAATTTTTAATTGACGTCATCGCTTCTTCTTTGCTTGAAAACTCCATTCCGTTATATAACTCACCATTAATTATTGATGATTAAAATCCATAGTCACCGACATTAGGCATATCCGCAAATTCTGACCCATACATTGCACCATAGTCAGCTTTATACATGTGTGCTGGAGGTTCAGTGTGTACCACATTTGTGGAAGCTTCATCTACATCATCGTCATCGGAGTCTATATTGAACTTCGGTGATTCTGGGTGAACAAATAGTTCAGTCTCAGCACCATCCATACTTGGCTCACGAAGCGGTTCTTCTGGTAGAGATGGAGGTTCCTCCATGCTGTCAACGTTTAGGTCGAACAACCTGGTACTTGCATGCATTCCCCTTGAACTTGAAGGAATCTTGACATTGAGATCGAAAAAATTCACAGTAGAATGCCTCCTCCTGGAGCTTGAAACCATCGTGTCAAATGAAAACTACACAGATTATTGCGTCGATAAAATCTCTATATTTAGGTCAAATAAATTGGCAGATGAATATCTTCCCCTTGAACTAGACGCGATGTTGCCACACGAATTGTTTGTAGACCCATCTCGGTACAGATCGTAAGAAGTTGCTGATAAATATCTCCCCATTGAACTTAATGGGATGTCACCATGATGTGTATTTCCCATTATGGCGTTAAAATCATTACGCATTATTGTAGTTGGGCTGTCAACTTGATCAACTAGTTGAGCCAACCCATAGAGATGTACAAAAAATTCGAATATCTGATTTTGCGCAAAAAATATTCAAAATCGGGTTTGGGAAAAATCGATTTTTTTTTAAACTGGATAGAATAACCGGTTTGGGGAAAAATTGGACGACCGTTTTTTTTATCGGATTAAAAACCAGTTTGAAAAAAAATCAGATAAAAAACCGATTTTTTATCCGAAAAAAATCCGGTCTGGGGTTTAAAAACTAGCTTTTAATATAACTGGTTTGGGAAAAATTGGACGACCGATTTTTTTACCGGATTAAAAATCGATTTTTTTTAAAAACCAAATTTTTTTCAAACCGAGTTACACCATCTGGCCCTCCAAACCGATTAGGATCCGAACCAGTTTTTTTAAAATCTGATTTTTTGGCTAGGAGAAAAAATAGGATCGATTTTTATCCGATCCAGATCGGATTTAAATCCGACTTTGTGCATCCCTACTAACCCATAGTGTGAGCATAATGACATACCCCGAACAATACACACTTCAACAAACTTTGCATACATCTCCATATTGACGTCTGAATAATGATTTTGATAATCAACCATCATTGCAAAATCATCATTCGATAATTCGAACGTTTTATAAATTAACAAAAACACTGATGTTGGAAATTCGTACTAAAACGACGACAGTCTTCTAGTACTTCCAACATTAACCTTCCTTAAAATCTTCGTTATCAGCTCCTTAAAAGTTATGTTTCTCTTGAAGGATATTTTAACAGAATGATTTGATGTGAATACAAAGCCGATTTAACTTCCCGAATTTCTCTATCATAGTAAACAATAGCTGAAATTCGCGTCATTCTGAGAATTTGAAAGATATAGTCTTATATCTGCAAAAATAATACCTGAAATAAGCCTAATTAAATAAATAAAATATAAAACAATAAAATATTTAAAAATAAACGTAAATAATTTAAATAATAATTTTATATTATTACTATATCGGTAAAAATATTTCGACGTATGATCACACTTTCTAATTTTACAACCACAAAAATAATAAAAAATAATTAGCATAATAATTTTTTTTTTCAAATAATCATATATAAAAAATATTATATATTAAAAAATTATCTTATAACGAAAGATCGAACAAACTTGTAAAGAAAATATAAGAGGAATTGATGAGTGATGTTTACGGGTTGAGAGAGTCTTATTTATAACCGAGGGGAAAGTTTAAAAGCCGAGAAATTCAGATACAATTATAAAAGATCCATGCTTTTTTGCGCTTGTATCAGTTTGAAAAAAGGCACGGATAATGATCCGCGTTTTACGCTAATATAACGTCACATCAAGATAAGGTACGAATCATTATTAGCATCTTTTTACAAATGATATTAGATTAATAAAATTTTTCTAAAGATATATGACACGTAAATAAAAAAATCAGGATTATTTTTCGATAAATACGACGCACATAAATGAGTTAGGATTGTCTAACACCCCATTAAAATCCTAATAATATATAAATATAACGTAAAAAAGTTCAAATTTTCAGGGTAGAGTTAAAAATGGATAAACTATCTGGCTAAATGTGCAGGAAAAGAGACTGAACCAATAACCAAGGAGCACACGGATGGTATAAGAAACAAGGAACTACGGATGGGTATGGGATCGAATTCGACGAGTTTCGATTCGATCTGATTTGATTGGGTATAATTTTTTTAAAAAAATTTAAAATCGAGTCGGAATCGGATTTAAGGTGAAAAATATCTAACTCGACCCAAAAATATATATAATTTTACATTATATATATATTAGAAATAATTAAAATAATATCTCTTTATATATAAATTTTTTCAATCAAGTTATTATTTTTATTAAATAAAAATAATAATTTTATTATTATTTTGAGTTGGATCAGATTGGGTCAGATTACTAAATTATATATCGGATCCGATAAACTTTTATATTGATCAGATCAAATCAGATCTTGGGTGAAGGCTCCTTTATTCTTAAGTCGGGTAAGAAGGACAAAAAATTCGACCAATGCCTATCCTACAAGAGAGAGGGAGAGAGTATTTTATGCAAAAGATTTAACACAGTACCATAGCCTCCATCATCTATGGGAACTGAACAAAACAAAGATCACCCATCTGTATAACAGATTTGTTTAAGACTTTGCTTCTTCTTCAATATCATCAAAGGGTTATTTTTGTTATGCAAGCTTAGTACAAGAACTCCCCTAGCTGTTTATCTTCACCTATGGCTATGATTTAAGCAGTCAGAAAGTAATTAAAAGGAGAGGAAGAAGAATATTATCAAAAGCTGATGAAGAATATACCTGGAGCTAGAAAACTCAAAGAGCTTTCCAGTAGCAAGAGAAAACAATGAGAGCACCCTCAGCATCACAAAGAACCGAAAGCTCCTCCACCTTTTTGAAAAGCCCTCGCCTTCTCTTCGAGAAAGTCGCTTGCCTCGCCGTCACGTTGTCGACCTTCTTGATCTTGGTCTTCTCCCTCGTCATGTCTACCAAAATACTCTCCCAGAAGATCCAACAATACCCTCCCAAAATAGCCTTTTAAGGACATAAAATAGTACTGCTTTTCTAGAACAACATTCAGTTGGTTAAACCAAATCCCACACTCTTGCATATTTCTCTGCTCAATGAAAAACCTTTTCTTTTTCAATGAAGAGTGAGCTGTAGAGGTTTAGTATACACTCATTATATTACACCAAGACTAATTTTAAAAATATTTTGAGTGTGCTTCATGGGTCATTATGAAAATAATTGTTTTATGTGGGTCTTCATTGCAAGGTTCTTTCTCAATCATTCAACATTGTGCATATTAGTAACTTTGCCATCTGCAGCAGCAAGTTTCTCTAATAATATGAAATATTATTGAGGTACGGACACTTTTTTTCTTGGATTTTATTGTAAAATTTATATTAAAAGTCTCGCAATAAACTTTCCTATTCATGAAATCAAATGTTCCATTTTCAAAATAAATAATTTTCACACGCCTATTTCTCGAACACTGGATTCGAAGTTTCTCTTAAAAATACAAAGCTTTCAAGTTCTGCGAATTAGCTAGAAAGAGACAAACCAAAGTACACAAATATAATCAGATCAGATTGGAAAGAAAAAAAGAAATACTCCATAATACTATTTCTAAGTGGGGCAGCTGGAAAGAGCATTCAATAACACATATACATGGGGGGGATAAAAAGCAAAGGTCAGTAGCAGTACTGAAAAGAGAACTGGCAGCCATAACCCTAGCCATGTTTTCTTCTGGATTACACTTTATCCACATGAAGAAACTCACTCCCCAAAACAAAAAAAAGATGAATCGAATCGAATCCCAACTCAGCTGCATTATCTTTCGGTCAGTGTTGCTGCTTTCAAAAGATTGCAGCTGCAGTGATCTGTATGAATGATGGATCAAATTTCCATACTTCAAAGCAATGCAATGCCTCACGAATATTGGAGTTTGCTAATGTAATATATATATCTAACATGTAAAACCAAGAAAAAAAGAAGTTTGATTTTGAATTATGGTATGAAAGAAAAGTAATGAAGAATGGTTAACAATTCAAAATTAAAATTTAAACAGATTATTAACGATAATTTGATTAAACAGAAAATACAGATTACCACGTAATACAGAAAAAGAAAAAGATGTGAACTGCATTGATGGAAAATAAACTGAAAAGATAAAACTTTGAAGTTCACAGTCGTCACTAAGGCGGCGGTGGTCTAGCCGTTGGAGTCCAAATTACATCCGGACCACCCAAATGACAGCTATAAATCGAAACCCCAGAAGAATCTCCCCCACCACCACCGTGACCACTGTCTCCCCCGCCACCAGACAAGGGCGGCGACTGTCCTTCACCGCCACCACCTGACGACACCATATTCCTCCCTTCTTCTTCTTCTTCTCCTCCTCCTCCAGGTAACCGATGATATGAAGGGTTGTTAAACGTAGCCGCTACTATAAACACCGTGCCAGCTGCTACCAAGGAACCAGCGACGAACCCTCCGACGACCTGCCCTTGAGGACCCGCTAAGGAGATGGAGAACGTGTTGGGCACGTGACACGACGTCACCTGGGAGAGGAGAGTGGCGGAGAGAGATAATATGTCGAATTTACCATGAAAAGTTACGGTAGCTCCTGGAGTGCTCGAAGGTTGACGGAGCGTTACATTGGAAACGGCACCGGAAGCAGTAAGCACGCAAATGCCAATATTTTTCCGAAGAGTAAAGCGGGAGATAGCTCCGACGACGTCGTTTCCTCCAGGGATTTCGAGAATGTAAGGATTCATCGAAGGGTCGGATTCACGAGTAATGACGAGGGGTGGTTTGGGCTTGTTTTTTGAACCCGGAGGACGACCTCTAGGTCTACGAATGACTTCCATAGAACCATCGCCACCTCCGCCACTGGGGAGAGAGGAGCGGTGGCTGTTGGAGGCGGAGGTGGCGATGTCATCGGATTCGAGGATTTGAGAGTCGCGAGAGAGCTGGAAGTGATGAGAGAAAGGGTGGTTTTGGTGGTGGAGCGTGGAGTACATGGCGTTGGGGTTTTCATTTTTGGGTTCTACATATTCACGTTTCATGTTATGGGGATGAGATTTTTGGATGTGGGAATTTGTAATAAAATAAGAGGATATGTTTTTTTTTTTTTTTAAAGTAAGAGAAGGAACAAGTCAGGATGAGATGTGGGGGAAGAAAGCCTGTAGGAGATAAAGATGGTGAGAGGGATGGGACAATAAAAAAAAAGATAAAATTTATAGTGTTTGGATTCCTTTTATCGCAGAATAATAAATGAAAGTGAAAAAAAAAATAAAGTGGATTATTTTCATCACGGACAAAATGTTTTTTTATAGTATGTATTTAAAATCTTTTAAATATTTTACCATGAATGTTCATATGATATGTTTAAATTTAAAACCTTAAGATATAACAATAAATACATTAACTATTAGAATTGTCTGATTGGTATATATATATATATATATATTGAATGATCATTTCTTTAAATTAGACCATTTTATTTTGTCAAAACTATTATATTTTGTTTTCTTAATTTAATGATTAATTATATTATCTTGAATTTTTTAAACTAAATATTTAATCATATATTATACTTCATTCTCATATAATAAAAATAAAATTTGATCTCAATCACATATTTTAAAAAAGAAATGAATATTTATCAAGAAAATTATTAATATGTTAAATTCAAATCCGTAGTTATGAGTATATTGTATGTTGTATAAAATTATTATAAAATGTGATAAAAATTAACTAATTATGTTATAGTTTTATAGATGTTAAAATGTTATGAAAATGAAGAAACCAAGTCATGAAAGAGGAATGGAAATGAGAAGTTAATTTCATCAAAATAGAGTTTTTTTTATGAAAGTTGGATACGTTATGCATGCTATCCTGGGTGTTGACAAACTCACTACAAGTATACCAAAAGTTTATTCTTATTAGTTGAGTTTCAACAATACATTGACAAGCTTATATAGGTAAAATTATAATTTTCTACTAGCTTAGTTGGCAAGCTTAACAGATTTCGGCAACAACTTTAACAACTCAACAAGTTTTCAGCTGCACAATAACCACAGTAACTGCACAACAGTGAACAACACCATACATCTCTAATATTCTCTATACTCTTTTTCTTCTCCTTGACCAAATGAGAAAACTTGTACTTTGGATCGAAATTGCTCAAATGAAGATTTGGACAACGGTTTTACCCATCTGCAACATGATGCCTAGCTGGAACATAGTTGACAAGCACCTGTTTAGCAGCAACTTTTTCCCTCACAAAATGTACATCCAGATCAATGTGCTTAGCATTTGCATGGTACACTGGATTGCTACTCATGGCAACAACACCACTATTATTGCACCAGACGACTTGTACACACTGATGTGTAAGCCCCATATCTGAAAGAAGTGCACTAACCCAAGTTACCTCAGCTGTTGCATCCACCACACTACGATACTTTGCCTCCATGGTGGATCTGGAAACAAACTTTTGTTTCTTGGTGGTCCAGGACATAAGGTTATCGCCTACAAAAACACAATATCCTGATATCAATTTTCTATCATCACGACTACCACCCCAATCTGCATCAGAAAATGTTGTCACCATCACATCCACACCACAGGGAAACAACATCAATCCATAATCAAGTGTGCCAACAAGATAGCAAAGAATCCATTTTACAGCAAGAAGATGACCCTGACAAGGGGTATGCATGTACTGGGCAACTTTATTTACACTGAAGGTGATATCTGGTTGAGTGTGGCAAGCATACAACAATACTCCAACAATACTGCGATATTCCTTAGCATCACAGAGCAGATCGCCAGCATCCTGTTGCAGCTTGGTTAGTGTCATAGGCTTTGCCACAAAATTGGTTGTATCCATATTATCTTTCATCAACAGCTCAAGTATAAACTTGTGTTGACTTAGAAAAGAATATTCACTACATTTCTTAACTTCAATACCAAGAAAGTAGCCAAGTTCTCCAAGGTCCTTCAATGAGAATATAGCACCCAAGCGTCGAATTATATCATCAATCTTGATATCCAAAACACTAGTAATGATAATATCATCCACTACAACAAATTTGTTTATTTGTGGCGTCTAAAATATTGTCACTGAAACTGACATTTATGTCACTATTTGTATTTTGTGACGTAAAAGTTGGTGTCACAGCGAACGTCACCTTAGGTGTGTCACTAAATATCAAATGTGACGATTTATGTATTTTCGTCACATATTGTTAGACATTTAGTGACGTTAATGAATGTTGTCACATTATAGTTTGTATTCAATGACAATTAATTACGTCGTCAAATAATATAAAATTTCATCACTAATTATTTGTAAATGTCACCAATAATATAATAATTTTATTGTGTAAATGACAAAATTATTATCGTCGCTACTTTTTAAAAATTAAATTAAAGGATAAACCTTTTTGTAAATTATAATAAATGACAAACCTTTTTGTAAATTACAATAAAATAAACCTTATTGTAAATTAAAATAAAAGACAAAACTTTTTGCAAATTACAACAAAGAACAAACCTTTTTATAAATCATAATAAAAATCAAAACTTCTTATAAATTACAATAATGATATATACTTTTTACAACTTACACAATAACAACCCGTACTTTTATAAATTACAATAAATACTCAAAATTATGCAATAATTACATTTTGATAATTTCCTCTTGAATACCCAAAACCAATCCCCAAATCTAATCCACGATTTTGCCACTACATCATGATCGCTGCTTTTCTTGGTCATCATTATCGTTGGCCACCATTCTAAAATCCTTTTAAACAAAAAACGTTAACTAGAAACAAAAAAAAATTATCTCACATAGAAAAATGCAAACACAAATCAAAACAAAAAAAAGTAGTAAAAGAAGAAAATATATTTGACTTTTGGATGAACTGTCCTAGACAGTCATCGATAGTTAACAATCAATGATGATGAAAAATCAAAATCAATTAGCAGTCACTGATGATTAATGATTAATAGTTAACAATAGTTAACAAACGATTAACAATTAAGAGTTAACGATAGTTAACAGTTAACAATGGTCAACTATATTTTTCTTGATTAGATTGGATCAGATAACAAATCAAATAATCTATCTAGATAACGGGTACAACTCAAACTAGAGTGAGTCTAATACAATTGAATTAGGAGTTGAACAATTACCATTAAAATTTGAAATATTTTGTAACATCCCAAACTATGGGTTAGTGACTTAATTGTAAAGTTTCAGAATTTGGTGATTAAAGTAGAAGAATGGATTAGTTCAATGATTTATCTGGAAATAAATCCTAAAAATGTTAGTAATTATTAAAGGAATTAAAGGGCAAAATGGTCTTTTTATCTAAAAGATAATTATCTTATCTCTTTATTAAGAGATAAGCATGTCGGGAGATATTTCTCCAGAACTTCTTCTCCTTCTTCTTCCTCTCCTCCCGTATCTCCAAGCTCAAAGGTGAGTCTTCTACTAAGTTAATTATTTGTTAAGTTTAAGATTTGGGTTTTGATCATTAGATGATAACTAAGCTTAAGGAAAGCTTAAGTTATCTTAAGATCAAAATATAAAAGAGATAGAGAAGATTAAATATTAGAGGTTCTTGAATGAAATCTTGGAATAGAGTTCATAACTAGAATTGAAAGTTATATTTGACTTGTCATCAATCTAGTTAAGATATACGAAGTGTTAAAAGCAGAATTCAAACATGTTGATTTATTAATGTAATTCTTGAATTACATATGAAGGATATGATTTGAAGGTTTAAGATGAAATAAATAAGTATAAATTGGTTTAACGATGTGTACTAGAGTTAAGAATGAAAAAGAGGATTAAACATGAAGGATTTAATCCAAAATGAATGAATTTTCGGGTTCAAAAAGAGGATTCTGGGAAGAGTGCATCGATGCACATTCATAATGCATCGATGCATCAAGGTTAAAACCTAGAAATTGTTTGAAGGTGTATCGATGCATTGGTAGTGCATCGATGCACTCTTTTAAAATAAAAACATCGAATGCAATTCATGCATCGATGCATAAGTAGTGCATCGATGCATCCCATTAATAATGAAACATCGAATGTCTTTTATGCACCGATGCATCAGTAGTGCATCGATGCATACCTTCATTAAAAGATGAAATTTACTTTTCTCTTAGTCTAAAGAATGAACCATTAGAATATATTAGTTATAATAATGATATAGATCCATGTGTGATTATGTAGATACTAAAAGTAAGCTTATTCTGGAACGATCAAAGGATTAGAATCGAATCAAAGCAAAGCTAAGGTGAGTGCATACTATATGTATATTATAATAGAATAAGACTTGTGATAAGTCTAATCCCTAAGTTTATTTTTATAATATAATAGTGGTGAACATGCATACATGATAATTATTGTGATACATGCATAAGACATATATATGTTCATGTGATATGATATGTGATATGACATGTGATATGAGAACATGATATGAAGTGATATGAGATACATGATCACAAGAGAAATGATATGAGTGCATGAACATATGAAATATAACAATAATGCCCATAGTATACGATATAAGAACTATAGGTGTAATTGGCATGCCAAGAGTCGATGGTATAATAGTTCTTCGGGATGTAGGGGTCCTACGGGACATAGATAATAGTCCTACGGGATGAATACTGAACTAAGGTTTGGTGCCCCATGAGGGAATTGATATGAGCTGTGGTGACAGCATTAGTGCACAACCTCAATGTACTCACATACCTATATTCTCAATAATATACATGGGCTATACAATTGAAATGCATATTTACAGTGAAAGTGATACAAGAAGGTAAATTTCGTATGTGCATTATATGTTATCGTGCGATAGAAAGATGTATACTGAAATGTCATGATCCAATGGTAAGTATGAACATTCATAAGTTTATTGTTGCATATTCATTTATTGCCTCACTAAGTCTATGACTTAGCGTGTAAGTGATTTACACGTAGGTACCAAGAATCAGGAAAAGTAGAAATAGAAGTAGCACGGACAACAATACTACTAAGAGATCAGATCAGAAGTAATTGACAAAGTATGTA